GTGAGAGAGACAGACAATATGAGAGAGAGAGAAAGAGAAAGAGAGAGAGAGAGAGAGAGAGGTTAAAGGGTGATGTCTTACTTCCACACTATGACCCCGTCATAGACAAGGACCATATATTAAACGAAATAGTATATGAATATAGAAGAGTAAATGACTATAGTCATATTACACACGCAGATTCTGCATCTCTGACCCTTTCCTCCCCTTTTACTTTACACAACCACATACAGCTTTTGGACGATAAAATGGGTAAAATAGTTTGGATATATATATTTTGAAAAGAAATTAGCATTTTCCACTCTCTCACTTCACTTCACTGCTCTAGCCTCCTGTGACACATTCTGAATTGTACAAAGGTTGTCCATGTAAGGTAAATAACATTATTCCAGATAGAGATGAATGTTCATCATGTGAAATGGACTGTTCAAGAAATGAATCACATCGTTTTTCAACATACTCATCAGCTAACTGTTTTTAAACAAATACATACAAATCTCAAAACAAAAAGGAATGAAAATGCTAATTCGAACGGCGACACCGACTACGACCACGACATCGGCGACGACAACGGAGTCGAAAAAAAAAGGAAAAAAGAAAGCTGAGTGTGATCAGATGAGCGTAAACAGCTTCTTTTTTTTTCTTAACTTCTCTCTAATTTGTTCACCCTATTTGATATATAGTTTATGAGGATAGTTAAGCGAAGTTGAGATGATCCTCACACCTCTTCGAATCTCCTCCATAAATTACTATAATTAGGCGAAATAATTGAATAAGATAAGATGAATGAATCAGGTAAAAGAGACCCGACCATCATCATCTCCGACAATCTATGAGAATCAATGAGAAACTAATCATTAACTATATGAATAATAAATTCAACTAATAATAACAAATTGAATGCTAAAAACTGTGTTGCACGTCATTCAACTCATTTCAACTCAACATGAGCTTCAATGTCTTTGTTGCAGCACGAAAATTCTTTTTTTTTTTCGTTGTATTTTCTGTTCGTGCCTTGTGGTTAGAGCTGACGATTGGGACAGAAGGTTAAATATAAGACAGATGGTGTCGTTCGATCTATGTTTCGGCTGAACTTCTAGCATAGAAGTTGGTAAATATATATTATCTGAGATGGAAGTACGAAAAGAAGTAATAACATTCTGAGCATTACTTTGTATGCCCAACTTACAGCCTCATCACAAATCTGCATAAAACTATAGAGGGGATTGTACAAGCAAACATTACTTCAATAGCTCATCTCAAGTAGGTGTTAATTATGTGATTAGTTAGTATATATACATCTATAGAGATAGAGAGAAGATATATATGTTAATTAATTTGTTTGTCCAATCACAAGCGAAACAAAAACAACCGTTCTCCACGTCCACAAAACAATAACACAACGTGTCATTTGTTAACTCATTTACCCTTCCATAATCGCTCACTAACCATTAACCCCTTCCCCCCACACACACACACACACACACACACATACACACACCACCCCCCTCAGCCGTTTCTTAAAAAGACAAAAACTTGAAAGTTATTGGCTAAAACTGACTTCTGCAATGTCTTTGCCTTAACAGGATCATTCATCATATGATCATCAGAATAAAAATTTTTTTTTTCTTGGCTGCTAATCAAATGAAAGAATTGTTACAACTATGTCCATTTGCAAAGAGCCTTTCCTCAATCTATGCGAGATGAGGAGTGTAAGTGGAAAAAGGTATTATTTTACATATACTTCATACATTATATGTGTATAACAAACTAACTTTATATACATATAATTAATATAGTATTTCGATGCTTTTTTTTTATCCCAAAGCTCCGCGGTAGCTTGAGATCGCAGAAAGAAAAAGCAGAGTTGAATGTAAAAAAAAATTAATTGATAGAGAGATAGAGAGAGCAAAAGACATGAGGGAGTAAGAGAGATTAATAGTTTAAATGTAATAAGTGAGAGAGGGACAGAGAGATAGAGGATGAGGAGTAGAGAGAGAGAGAGAGAGAGAGAGAGATGAAGAAGAGTTTGACCAAAATACAAAGTTTTAAGAACAAAACTGACCTGGGTCATTAAATGATAAACAACAATCGAATTGAAATTGAAAAGACGCTTAAACAAAACAATTCCTCGCCTAGACGACGTGAGATTTGACGTCAACGTGAACAACGTGAAAATGCAAAATTATGCAAATATTGTTATATCTTATTGATAATTATGTTTTCGTTTGTGCATAGCATTGAGTAATCTGTCCTTTTTTTGGTATGTTAGTGTATGATATAGGAAGGAGAAGATGATAAAAAGGCCAATTAAGGAATGTTTCAAGAAAGTGATTAAACAGACAGAATCGAGTATAAATGACATGAAAAGGCGTCTGAAGTGAAAGGAAATACGATAAAAAACGGGAAAAAGGTTGATATCGTCCGTCTTCTGGGAACGCGGCGAGAACATAACTGACGATTTCATTTATTTCTCTTATTTTGTTGGCGTATTCAGTTTGTTTAGTTAGATATACGAATGGATTGTCTTCAGATTACTATTATCACTATATATCATAGATGAACAATAAGAAATGACTTGTGATAACGAAGATGCTTTTCTACCATTGCGCCAAAACGGAAATGTAGAAGGACGTCTGTCTGAATGACAACATGTGCAGCGAAATAAGATTAAGGTACATAAAATTCGGCAGTTCAAACTGTTTTACGGCAAAGTTCTCAAAAAAAAAAGTAAAATCTTGTTCATCTGATTGTTTGAATAGACCAGAATTCATCGATTGGTACTCTAGGCCTGGCTATAATGCCTAGGCGAATTGAGTTCGTACCAAACTGATCGGCTTATCGACAAGTCCTGTTTGGACATAATCTGCTATATAGGGAAATAACCAAACATATGGTATATATGAGAGAGAGGGTAAAAGCCATCAAAAATAATCTTTCACAGGTAAAATATGGATAAATCCAGTTGTATAGTAATAGGGGAAAGATTAGTGAGGTTTTTGGGTGAAGAATTCAGTTCGGAATCTGATCATGTTGGCATCGAATTCCATTATCTTCTTCATACATGATGATGAAAATCTTTGAAGAATTTATTGTTTAACACACACACACACACACATACACACAGAGAACATTCCTTGTCACATATCGATTATATTTCAAGATGAAGAGAATAACATAATTCCATTGGTCAGTTTACAGTCGGAACAATTGAAGGAAAGCTTCGCAGGGCACCAGAGGAGTGTGTGTGTCTGTGCGAGACAGAGAAACAGCAGATGAGTAAGTAAGAGAGAGAAAGACTCAAAGATAGAGAGAGAGAGAGAAAGAGAAAGAGAGAGCCATATCAAATTAAAACTCGTAATTACTCGCGAATTAATTGAAAAATAACGAAACTATTTGATTATTAAAGTAATTTCAGTGAACCTTCTGTCCACTGGCCCAATACCCATAAGAACTTGTGAAAGTTAATGGGAAAGCAGTTAAGTAAGAATTTCCACTGTTTTCGCATTTTCATTCACAAAAATCGTCCCCAGACTACCCCCCACCCCCTCTCCCCGAAAAGAGTTCACGCTCTCAGATAGCTGGAGGTGTATATGGGGGGTCGAGCTTCTCTCTGTCACACTCTCGTTTTTCGCTCGAAAAAGCTAAGAAAGAATGAATTTCCTTCTTCCGTTTTTAGTTCAAAACCTACTTAAAGTCACCTTCAAATTCTTGAATACTACTGTCTTTTGCGTGTATTTCTCCTTACGGTAATAAAGTTTAGGTTGATTCGTCTGGGTTACTGATTACAAATGTCCTTGGCTTGCTAGCAGACATAAACGAAAGAACAAAATTCTGAAAACAACACGACCGATAATGGGCATGGGTTATTTCATTGAAATTTAACAGAAACTTTTACAAATGACTTTGAACCCTCACATACGCTGCTAGTTCAAATCGGTCCGTGAAAGGACATCAAGCCTAATATGATTGAGAAACATCGAAGTTTCAGAAGAAATGAAAAGTAAATCATTGAGATAGCCGTGAGTAATTAATCAATTAGAAGTTACAGTTGGCTTGCCAGCCGGAAGATGGATTGTAGCCCAAGCTTGATTCGAGAAAAAAAACCTTTTATGAATTATATACGCTCTCTGAGAAGATTTGCTAGGATGCTAAAGAAACAAAAGGCGCAGATAATAGAGATTAATGACAAAATATATCGCCTTAACAATCATTCATCACATAAAACAACTCTCACATACCTCACATTTACTATCAATCAGCCGCAAATTTGTCTGGAAAACGTGCCAACAGCTACTAAGCTCGTATTCTCATCGACAAACTTCAAACATCAATTTATACTTTACAAACACACGGCTAGAGGTTCATCTTCCAAGCTTCTCGGATCTTGGTTATCCAAGACTCTTCTTTCTTTTTTTCTCTTCCACTCTCTCTCTACATCCAGCGCAAGCCATTCGCTTTCACTCTTCCCCCCACTTGCTCATCGGTGTCAACGTCGTCGTTATACGGACAGGATCGACCGACCGACGGATGGACAAACGGACGCCTGTCCTGTTGTGTAAATCTCCACTCCAATCGGACCAGATTTCACATTCGTTCAAACTTGCCTCACAGGCTGTAAACCCTTTACAAGAAACATTGATCAGACTTCCTCAACTCCACTGAATAGAAGAAGCTAGAGAATATGGTGGCAAGAAACTTTCTCCTTCACATTCCAATCTTTGTACTGCCATGTCATCGTCAGCTGAATATCAATTCGCTTCTTTTGTTCCTAAACTGCCGATCTACGGAATTATGAAGAGAATGAGGAAACAAAAAATATGAGCAAAGCTGAAGAACTTGAAATAAAATAACTTCTGAATAAGTTCTAAAAAACTTTATTTTGTACTTCATCAATATTGTATATCACAGTTAAAGAAATCTTTGAGATCAAGCATATCACAGGTAGTTCTCAGGAGTAAAAAAAACTAAGAAAAAGTAAATTTTTTCAAAAAAATTGGTTAGAAAATGGTAGATAAAAGAATGAAAAGGGTAACAGCACTAAGTATAGCTGATATACCACTTTTGGGAATGACGATTGGTGTGTCCAGGATTTTGGCTGCTCTCTTTCGTTGCTCTGCACTATTCTTCTTTTCAGCATCCTCTTCAGCTTCTTTCTCTAGAAAAAAAGCAAGTTTTCCCGGTTAATTGGATATAACACTCACCTTTTTCTTCAACTCGTGTTTCAGCATTGAGCTCATCATTGTCAGAAGGTATCTTAACCTTGGGGTCTTTTGAATGAGCTAGCTTATATGGCAAAACATGAGCCTGTAAATGATGATTATATCAAATGGACTGAAAAAAGCGAATTACAGTCATAATCTTTGCTAAACTTTCAAAGTCTGGGGTTGGAACAGGATTCCGTTGCCAATCATACATCGAACATTGCAGGGTGCGCAGTTCACCATCGATCAGAAGGGCAGCTTCTATAGGTTCTGTGGTCATTACATCTTCATGAGGAATCGTTCTGATTTCATTATTCATAGAAACGCCATCGATATGATTGCTGTCGACAGTTCCAACATTGTGTGGAATCTAAAAAGTTATTCGATTTTTATCAAGTTCAAAGAGAAACCGACTTGATCAGCGTTGCCTGATGTGACAGAACCTAGACCAGACTTGGAAGTATCTTGTGGGAGGTTTACAATAAAGTTCTAAGACCAAATTAATAGAAAACACTGAATATATATCGTATAGTCACCTCATCTTTACAAGCCTGAGGAACAACCCAATCGAGCATTTCTTCAAAGCCACCATTTTCTCCTCTCATTACGGAAGAAATCAGAGTATCAACAAGGTTTGTCTGTCCAACACACTTTTCGCCTAAACGATCCTTTACGCAATGCATCAAACATATCGTAGAACTGAAAGCATCAATGAAACAACAATGTCTTTTTTCGTTTCCTACTTGCACATGTTCTTCACATCGAAAACATTGTCTATTTGATTCGCAGAAGAGGCTTGATCAATCAAACGCGCTTGGAGTTTACAATGATTTTCACACTCTGGTTGCAAATCTTCGGCAGCATTTTTGACACATTCCAGAGAATCTCCAACAGCTTAACAGAGTAAAATATAAATAAACAAAATCACAAACTGTCTTACATTCAATGTTTTCTAAACAAACAAATTGGAAAAGCTTAGCCGCTGTTTCAACAAAAACCGTCGAACATCCAGCATTTACAGCACATTTTGCTGACTCTTGAAGCTCTCTGAGATTGAAGTTATTTGGAGTTATGCTTAGAGTTAAACTAACTGGCACATTCCATTTACAGCAATAGGATCTCTTGTTCCTTTTTTCATTACTTTAAACATGCCTTCCATATGCGGAATACAACTTTCAAAGCAACTAGGCATTTGAAAAGTGGACATAAGCTTCGTCATATTCATTGGACCTTTAAAAGAAGCTGAAATAAGAAAAATATAATATAATATATTCACAATAAGCAGCTTGCCCATAATTTCAGATAAGAAGTTTGTTGTCGAAACTTGCTGAACAGAGTTTCCAAGAACACCATGTCCGAGATATAATAAAACCAATATTAATTTCATCGTCATTGATGATGGTTAGTATAAAATGAAAATAATAAATAATTCTTTAGAAAACATCATCATGATGGCGCTAAATTACGATCGTTCAAACCAGTTGTACTTTGGTACACAGACTGTTTTCGATCCCATTTGTTTCCAAAAATACATTACGCGGGCTCTGGTGAGCAGGCTGTTCTCATAAACAGATGTTGAACTCTTTGTGATTAGGATAAAATTATTTGAAATGTTCGCATACCTAATCAGATGTTTTCCAGCTTTAGTAAGAGATGAAAAATTAAAAAAGTTCAGGAATTAAATCGTTTATCCTTTATAAGATTTTGTGCGGCATTCGTCAGAGCGTAAGGCTCTAGGAATGCCAGTAGGCTTCATCTTCTAAGACAATCTTCATTTGGACGATTTCCGTCCTGAGCATGGAAACGAACACGTCTGATTTATTCATTTTTATATGAATATATATAAAAAATATATAAATAGATACGTTCAAGAAGGATTCAAAGGACTTAACTTCCTATACGCTATAAGCATATGACGTGACGCGAGATCATAATGCGTATGCATGGATGTCCGTGAAATTTGCGTAAAAGTCCACGTGTGTCATCTTCTAACGTGAAACACAATTTGAAATTTGAATTTCGCCTGCTCCAAATCATTCTTTCATTTACATTCTTGTTAACCGGTCCTAACCCGGAATCTGCAATAAACGATTTCTTCTTACACTTTGTTATTCTAATTTCTGTGGATAATGAAATTTGAAATTCCGAAGGTTAGCTCATCATTGACTGCAGAAACATTCAAATTTTTTTTAAAAATCGAATTTCAGAATTCATTTGATCGTATAGCCAAAAGAATTTTATCCGATGTATCGGGTCGACGATATTTTCGTTTCACACAGGAAGCTCTGGATATAGTGCATGCGGTATGAATGACCAATATAACTTTGATATTAATTATAATAATTATGCAGGAATGCGAATCATATTTGCTGGAAATGTTTAGCGTTCAGAAAGAATTAACTTTTCTATTTGGACAGGAAACGTTACTTATTGAACATTTTCGTGCCTACCTCCTTGTTAAGCATACTTAGATTATTCTTATGTTTTTTTCTTGTATTATAAATCATTCTTTATGAAATCATTTATAATTATGTTCATACTATCAATACATAATTCTCTGCAAAGTTACATTCTTCTTAAATAATTTATTCGCATGCTTGCAGCTGTTTGAAGGCAATTTGCGAAACCGTTTTGTTCGCCAGCTCAAATGGCTACGTAATATTTCTCATAACTTTTTGATAACATTTCAGACATTACATTTATAGCTTCACCTTATAAGGTATCTTTACAGATATTCATATCGGATGTCTTGGGTTGATCCAGATTTTGATTTTGAGGATTTGTTGACCAAAAGAGATAGTAATGCCACGTCTTTCCAAAGCGGAACTAATTTCATTGCGGGATTGTCTGGATTCACGGATGTTAAAGGAAGTTATTGAATCTCAATATATCTTATCATTACAGATGCTCCCTAATATCGCCAAATCTTATAAATTTTATATTATAATATGTATATATCTTTTTGTACTGTTCTCTAGTATTGTTCTGAATATTGTCTTCTTCATAGCATTGTTATTAAGTTCGAAACAGTTCCGAGAGGTTTGTTAACTAGCTTACTCTCATACTGGCTGAGCTTTATCCTTCTTCAATATGTTCATTTCAGAGAGCTTTTGTTAAAATCTTATGGCATGTAATTCTTGCCAATTTAATAATATGTTTGAGTAACCTATTTATTACTGTGCCATTGACGCTATTAGAATATACACAATTGGAATTGAATAGTTTTCAAAGATCGTGTATGTACCTTATCATTGAATCATTAACTATATGAAGGCATATGTAGGGTTTTATACAGCATTCAAAGTGTTGGGAATGTTCGCTGTAGAGCTTAATCTGGTTCTCACACTAATTGTTGCTATTCAACGTCTATTGGTATTTGTTTCACGCAGGTTAACTATACTCTTGTTTGAAGGGTCAGTCTTTCATAAACAATCAACTTCATTTTCATGTTCAGATTTATCTTTTATGTAATTATGGCATCTGCTTGGGTTGTTACCTTCTTCATAGTATACTCGTTAAGCTACTACGGCTGTCGCTATATGTGGCATGGAGAAATGCTTATGTTCGTTTTTCGATGTGGTGACAAGGAAAATAATTATCCACAGGTTACGGTAACTGTTGAAATTGTAAGTATTTGATTTGAGTAGTTCATTCGTAACCGATTTGATGATTGAAGTTGGTCGTTGCTCAAAACATCTCCATTCCTGCAATAATTTTTTTCATTTATTTGATTATATTCTACCATATACATTCTCAACGACGAGTATCACCCGTTGATTCCGCTATATCATATGAGATTGAAATACTCAGACAAGCTTTTTTGATTTTTGTTTTCTTCGAGGTTACTAATGAATCCAACAATCATCCGTTCTCTTCTTTAATACTTTCAGATTGCTTCGTTTTTCTCAATGATCATACCAAATAAGCGTATCAGTGTAGAAACGGCATTTGTTTTTAATCGAGTAGACATGACGGTACATATGGAAGAGTCCATGTTCAAGTGATCCGTTTCTATTTTAGCTGAATCTGCTGGCTGGTGCATTAACACCCACGATGTTCATGGCAACAAGCACCGAATTCAAAGACCATCTCAAACTGTTCGCGCTCCTAAAACCGAAAGTTGGCATCAAAATTGTATCTTCCTTTGTAAGATGAGCTTTTAAATGTTCAAGTTAGCCATGTTTTCAGGGTCCACCTCGTGGAGGCCCATCTTCGTCGGCTGCCACGCCCTTTAGATATACTCGCAATAACAATTGATTGTGAAACTCATCAGTTGTCAAATGAACTTTATGAAAATTTAAAATAAAAAATTCTGTACATAACTTCATTTTGCCTGATCTCCTAGTTGGCTGTATGAAGATCTATCAGAAGCATTTTCACAACCACTCATTCATCGTCAGCACATCAATACTTATATATTCTGATTTGTTACGTGAAAATTTTTCACGTGACCTACGGTGCCACGTAAAACCTATTAAGAGCTAGTTATAGTGATTTTCTTGTCATACTTCCTGTTTGCGATCAGGTAATCAGTCCAATGGAACAACGTGAAGGCTATCATGATGTAGAACTAACGACAGCAGACGGTAAATTGTAAATGATTTATATAATTATATATTTCATTATTTATAAACTATTAAAAGAGTCCAATGGCGAGAGAGCGAAATTCACCGGGTTTTCCCGTCTCTGTTAAGCTCGGTTCCAATAAGACGAAGTCAGAGACGCATTACTCTATTGGTCGAAATACCAATATGCTCATTCACAGTGAATAATTCATACTCTTCTATATTTGATGGATTTTACTTCAAGGTTGAAATAATGAAGCAATTTTGTCAAACAAATAAGATAGTAGAGGATTTATCATTTGCTGAATATGAATATCTGTTGAAGTGCATATTGATAATTCCACCAGATGAACATCTTCCTCTTCAAGTTATCCCATTTGACAAATTCATTTCATATTCATTTTAAGAACTTTATTTTCTCTATCCTTATGAAAAATATTGAAAGCTACAATTGTATTGGAATCTGGATGTTGGCCAAGAAGTATAGAAATGAGCTCTACATAGGACAGGTGCAGGAGTTGTTCTCATATACATCACACAATCTTCACAATATTCTAGAGTAAGAAGCATATTCTGGAAAATATATTCGAATACTGTAAATGTGGGACTATTGATTTTCATTTTTATGGAAGGTTGACGTTGAAGGAAGAAGCTTCTAATTTGAATGTTTCTTAAGGTTGAGCAAGCAAGATGTTATAGATATCGTTAGTGACGACAATCTCAATATTCAAACAGAAGAAGATGTCATTATAATAATCTTGGCTTGGATAGGTTCAAAAATATTTGAAAAGCAAGAAACACCACTTTCCTTTATTTTCCTTCAGATGCTTTACCCAATGAGAGAAACGGTCTGTTGAAAGAGCTTCTATGCCACGTAAGGAAAGAGGGCTTATCAAAGGTTTTTCTTAACTTTGAATTCAAATTTAAATACTTGAAAGACATTGGAAGAAATTAGTTCGGTTAACGAAAGCATCTCAATAGCTCAGCTTAACCTAAGTTTGAAGCCTTCAAGAGAGTTTAAAGACAAAGTCACAGTGTTTACTGGTTACCAAACGGAAAACTTAATTTTCAGCTTGTAATTCTTGGCGGTCATGTGTTTGATGGAAAGAAAGATGACATCACTTCGTCAATGGAATATTATGATTTGGTTCAGTGATACTTGAACCCCTCCTAATGATGAATGAAGTTGCAGGTGGAAAACAAATGGTTAAAGCTGAACAACCTACTACCTTATGCGTCCTCTTATCATGCGACACAGTTTTTCGAAAATGTTCTATCTTCTTCTTTATAGTATAAGACTTATTCATATATTTATAGAATTTATATTTATTTGGTGGAACAAGCTTGCAGTCAGCAGCATTGTCCAACTGCTGGAAGTTTATGAATGGCAGTTGGGTAGGAGTAGCGTCAATGAACCAAAAGCGGTAAGCTGTATAACTTATGGCATCATATGGGAAACATATTCAGAACTTATATCACACAAGCATGTTGTGTACTAGATGGCGAGATCTATGTTATTGGTGGTCATGACGGTCGTCGTCGAGAGAGCACTGAAGTTTTCGTAATTGGATAAGCATAGAGTTTTACTGATATTATGAATTATTACAGCCAGCAGTTAATACACGATTGAAATCAGTGGAGAAATACGATGTGCATGCTGATGAATGGACCACCGTATCGTTAGTACTCATTATTGTACTTTTCTACAAATTATATTGAAGGGAACTGAATTACGGTAGATCTGATGCTGCTTGTACTGTCTTCAACGATCGAATTTACGTGTTTGGAGGATTCGACGGCAATCGAGTAGCTTCCCATATTCATTTTTCTTGTTAATATCATTCAATATCAGATCTTGGACAGCATTGAAATGTATGTACCAAGTCTTGATAGCTGGATTGTCATAGATACCAAACTGCCCAGCCCACGATCAGGTTAAATCTTCATCTTTCGTGAATATTACGAAAGGTTATAGGAATGTGCTGTGCTTCCTTCGATGAACGCATATGGATTATTGGAGGATCTGAGTATAATCAAAAACATTCAACTGTTTTCTCCTTTCAACCAAAAAAGGATATTTGGATTATTGAGAATGAATTGAATGTTAAAAGGTTTATCATCTGTTGCCGTATTCACACCCTTCCCGTTCACGTTACTTTCAGATCAAACTTCACTATCGCAACAATGGGAAGACGTTTTGTTGTGATGGGTGGTTATTACAAGAAAATATTAAATTCAGTTGAAACGTTAAGCTTCATCCCATCTATCACTATAAACTTTCTAAATTCAGATTATACAATAACGAATGGCATGTTCAAGATATTGCAAGCTTAAACCATCCCAAGAGTGCTTTAGCTTCTGTCATTATACCATATAGCTACTTCAAAGTCAATTTTCAACAAAATATCCAAAAATAGCTAGAAATATGCAAATTAGTTTCTATTTATATAGTAATATTATCTAAGGAAAAGAAAATGTACTTTTTCAATTTCCGTGAACTAACATATGCTTTCGAACGAAATCCGATCTGCATTATTTGATTTCAAATAAAGATCTTCTGTAAGCAGTTGTTGATTATAAAGTTTATTCATTCATAAAAAAAACAGAAGAAAAAGTTGTGAGGATCTAGTATCTAATAGATATCTATAGAGAGATAAACTTTAATTTCTTTTACATCATTTTAAGTAGATGCTTTCTCATTTCTTTTTTTCTCCTACATTCCTTGCAGTCAGTGGAAGGCGAGTCAGTTGAGTGCTTCACGGCTCCTCCCGTCCATTCCAGAAGTACATCATTCGATTTCTGATTGAAAAAAAAAGAAAAAAAAAAGATTTTTTTTGTTCTCAACTTTTGAAGATTAAAATTCAATGTGACATGCATTTTTCTTGTGACAAATGTCAACCCCCAACCTCCTCCCCCCCCAACCAAATACAACTATTTCATATGTAAAATATAAAATTTATATTTTCACGTACAAGGCAAGCATACACATACTCACATACACATTCTGTATGTCTTGTTCTTAAGCAACAAGACGAAGGAGCACTGCTACCCAGAAAGACAAAAAAAAAGAAGACAAATTACCCAATTTCTATCTTTTTGCCATCTCATTTTCGTTGTGTCGTTTACATTTTTTATTTTTGAGCCATTTTTTTCTTCTTCTATTTTGCTTAATTTCGACTGTCCTTCCTTCGAAATGTAACGACGAATCAGCTTCATAAACGTTACTATTCAAGCTCATTTGATGTTTATTGGAAATGTTGTCACATCGTTTGCTTGACAACGATTTCAACTTTGCACATCCAATTTAACTGTCTCTAGCTGCCTTATTTAGAATGAGATCTGTTGTTTATTATATGGATATAGTTAACATGTTTGAGATGTCATTGACAGTCCATAGATGTTAGATGAACTTCTATTCTTCTTTCCTTTCCTCTTCTTCTTCGACTACCATCTCTTCTGAACTTTTCACGTCATCATCAGTTTACGTCAAACTCATTTGCATATCTTATTGTTGCACTCAATCGGTTGTTCTGCTTTTTATTTTGGTTTTTTTTTCTTCTTCTTCCACTCCTACATCTCTTTGACTTCAACTTCAACCCGGTGTTGTCATTTATGGAAAAGCATCATGGTTCCTAACGCGTTTTTACATCTTGTTCTGGAGCTCCTTCTAACCAAGTATTATTGCAAGCAACTCGAAATCGAGTTAAGTCGCATTTTCACTAAACCGTCCATATTACTCAAGTGAGAAGGAAGAATGGAGAAGAGCAACTTGAACATGTTCAAAGCATGTTTTCCAACAAAGTTATTTTACATTATATTCAAAGACATTTCGATATTTTCATTTTGCATCCGACATCCATCCACGTATTCTATTTGAAACATTGTTCGCTTTGTAACATCTTGTCGTAGCTGTTCCTCATTTAGTCATTGTCAAGCTCATATTCCGTTCTTCAAAGCATCGAACTTAAGAGTAACTCTGAACGTTCCTTGACTTTTCATCTTCGTCAAATCAAAATGACTTCGGAAGCTTTTCTATTGCATTATTCATCAAGTAACATATAGAGTGTGCTTCTCCTTACGACAGAGACGTTTTTTTTCTTTTCGTCTTCTCATTTCTTATCCTTCATCTAATATAGTTTTGCTCTTTTAATTCTAATCAGAATACATTTTCGGGATGTTGAATGAAGATTTTCGTGCATGCACTTAGTAAAGCTGAATGTTCAATGTTTCAATCTCATTCTCTTTTTCTTTAGCACCTTTCAATATATATTGGCGTGTTTCTTATGCTTTAAGCACATTTGTACTCTTTTGCTCTCACAATTCAAGTGTCATCATCGAAATTTAAAAGTAATTAGTACTTGTATTATAAAATTCAATTCACACTTGCTATTGAGAAACAAAAAGTTTTTCCTCCTTCACCCTCTCCCCCCCCCCCCCCCCCTCCCCCAC